AGGTGAACATTCCGAGTTGGATAGAGCTGGTTCCACGGGTGGTTGGTAGTCGACGCGACTCTTAGGTGGGATCTCAGGCCGCCAGAGTCCTGCGGGATCTTCACTGGGATAGATTTTGCGGACCAACCGAGACCGATTTGTGGACCGATGGGCCTCTAGGGTCTTTCGGAGGCTGTTGGCAAAGACATCGGGAGTCTTAGCTGCCGCAACGGAGCTATGGAATGGGCAAAAGAGGCGAGAGGAACGGATGCGTAAAGGTAGGCTCGAAAGCTGCATAACAGTGTCACGGCATTTAAATATAACAAAAGAGGACACCGGAGTGGATGTCACCATGCCGAGGATGCATGCAGCTTCCCAAGATTCTTTCCTTGACTTTTTTTTTTTTAGATTGACTGCCTCAGGCAAAAATAGCCATGTGACGTTGCATTTTGAACAGATTCAACTTGGATACTTCTGTTTATACCTACATGTAGATATAGGTAGATAATTTCTTTCATCATATCTCATGTACACTTAAAAATACCTCAATATTTTCAGTATTTTTAACGTACCAAATGCTTCACCTGAATCAAAAGTACATACGGAGTAGAAGTACTCAACTAGTTACAACACTCATATTATGTTGTTACATACATACTATGTACTTTGTACAATAACTGTACGGAGTACATAAATCCATACATGACGTAGCACTGAGAAAATATCCACAAAACCTCCTCCATATTATTCTATCTATCTTCGTCATAAAACGATTTCTATATTGTTAGTATTACATTAAACTCGTGAAGTTGAAGAGCTCTCCTTAAGTCTAACTGGTTCGTTCCCTCAAGGTCATTTCCTTGATAACTCTCGATAAGACCAACTTCACTTCACCGCTTGCCCCTCCATCCTTATTATTTCCTGTTCCTAACCAAAGAATTTCTTCCTTTATTTTATCTATCTGTTTTTGATATCATCTTCCTTAAATTGTCCATGGCTTTCTTGCGATAGTCCATTTCCCCGCTTATCGACTCAGTACTAATCCCCCGAGGTAAGCATCTTGATCATCTTTCCCCCCTCCACCACTCCCATTTTCAACCCACCGATGTCAAGGTTTCCTCGGACCTTGGTGCTTGTGACAGTTGCAGCCTAACTCTCACAGTCTATTTGCAACACCCCGGATCTTATCCTTGATTTCATCGTATAAGCACTGCTCGTTATGTCTGAACCAGAGAGCCCCGCGCAGGTGCCCGATGGCCAGCCAAACCCTGTCCTCGTCGGGCCTGGGCTAAAGGCTCTCAAAGATAAAGCATATACCGAAGCGACAAATGCGACACCTAGTTTGGAGAAGATGCCGAGCGAGGCCCTTTCATATTTTGACAGTCTCCCGGGAGTCAAGCCTGTAACTACCGACTCGTCTGACACCAAGTCCCAGCCAGTGCAGACTGCAGGGAGAGCCTCATCCGGCATGGACTTGCTGCGCCGCTTAAGCTTGACCTCAGACTCCCCCGTGTCCCCCGAGATTGATCCACGCGTACAACACCCAGGACTTCGTTTGAGTGGCCGTCTCATCAGCGCCGCTTTCTGTATACCATACAAGCTCAACTTTCGATCGGGATCAGACTGGGTATGTGGATGATTCTATTTATTTGGGAGATTGTATTGACTAACTAGATGATAGACGCTCAAATCGCGCTCTGGTACCTCAGCGCTGTTTGATTCATTTGCACATCTTGCATCGGATGAGACTTCTTGGTCACACACCTTGGTAGGTTGGACCGGAGAGGTCGAGCCTGATGTGGATATGAAATCTCCCTTGCAGCAAATAGATCCCAATTCTACAGTCAAGACACCTCCAGCTCCCAGTAACCTTGTTGCCAACCAAACATTGAACAAGGCTGCCGCACCAGTTCCCGTGGATGGAACCAAGAAGCCACCCGCACATCCATTGGTTGAGGGAATTAGTGTCACCCAACAGGACCGAGAACGACTCGATGAACAATTGAGCTCATGTCGCCATGGCCGGGTATTGCCTGTGTGGTTGTCGGATGCATTAGAAGAACCAGAGGAGACTATTCTTCTAAAAGATCAAGGGAGATGGCGCCGTTATGCCGAACGTGAGCTATATCCTCTACTCCATTACAAGCAACATGGCCCCACAGATGGTCGATCCGAGCGACGGTGGTGGGCCGACTACGTGCGTCTGAATCAGTTGTTTGCAGATCGCATCGTGCAGGAATATCAAGAAGGAGACGTTGTCTGGGTTCATGATTATCATTTATTCCTTCTGCCCAGTCTGCTGCGGCAACGTATCCCGAATATTTACGTGGGATTCTTCTTACATTCCCCCTTTCCCAGCAGCGAGTTTGTCCGGTGTCTTGCGAAACGCAAAGAGATCCTGGAGGGAGTCCTAGGCGCCAACATGATTGGATTCCAGACATTTTCCTACTCTCGACACTTTACATCGTGCTGCACGCGTGTTCTAGGCTTTGAGTCCAACTCTGCCGGTGTTGATGCTTACGGGGCCCATGTTGCGGTAGATGTCTTCCCCATTGGTATCGATGCACGCTCGATTCAAAAAGCCGCCTTTGGGGCTCCAGATATTGAGAAGACAGTGTTGGGTATTCGCAAGCTCTATGCTGGAAAAAAAATCATCGTCGGCCGTGATCGGCTAGACAGTGTTCGCGGCGTTGCGCAGAAGCTACAGGCATTTGAAATTTTCCTAGAGCGCTATCCGGAATGGCGCGACAAAGTTGTCCTCATCCAGGTGACGAGTCCAACTAGCGTGGAAGAGGAGAAGGAAGACCCAGACAACAAAATTGCTGGCCAAATATCTAATTTGGTTTCGACCATCAATGGAAGATTCGGCTCTTTGAGTTTCTCTCCCGTCCAGTACTATCCGCAATACTTGTCCCCACGCGAGTATTTTGCTCTTTTGCGTGTGGCCGATGTTGGATTGATCACTACGGTGCGAGATGGCATGAACACAACGAGTCTGGAATATATTGTCTGTCAGCAGACCAACCACAGTCCTTTGATTCTTTCTGAGTTCTCCGGTACGGCGGGTACCCTGCCTAGTGCCATCCACATCAACCCGTGGGATCTGGTTGGGGTGGCTGGAGCGATCAATCAGGCATTGAATATGCCAGCCGAGCAGCGAAAGGAGCAACACCTCAAGCTATACAAGCATGTGGTGACCAACACAGTCTCTATGTGGTCCAAGCAGTACCTTAATCGCCTACTGACTAATCTTTCGTCCTTTGACCAATCGGTTGCTACACCTGCACTCGATCGCGCAAAACTAATGAAGCAGTACCGCAAGGCTCGCAGACGACTGTTTATGTTCGACTACGACGGCACATTGACGCCAATTGTCAAGGATCCTCAGGCGGCCATTCCTTCGGATCGGGTACTCCGTACTCTGAAGAGCCTGTCAGCCGACCCACGAAATGCTGTATGGATAATCAGCGGACGAGACCAGGCATTCCTGGACGAATGGATGGGTCATATCCCAGAACTCGGATTGAGTGCTGAGCACGGTTGTTTTATCCGAAAGCCCGGATCTGAGGATTGGGAGAATTTGGCTGAGAGAAGCAACATGGGATGGCAGAAGGAAGTGGTTGAAGTTTTCCAGCATTACACAGAGCGAACACAGGGTTCATTCATTGAACGAAAACGGGTAGCATTGACCTGGCACTATCGTCGCGCAGACCCGGAGTACGGTGCATTCCAAGCTCGCGAGTGTCGAAAGGCTTTGGAGGACACTGTCGCCAAACGATGGGACGTGGAAGTCATGGCAGGTAAAGCCAACCTGGAGGTCCGACCAACCTTTGTGAATAAGGGGTTTATCGCCACCCGGTTAGTCAATGAATATGGCACGGCCCCAGGGAAGGCACCGGAGTTTATCCTATGTTTGGGTGATGACTTCACTGATGAAGGTAAAAATTGCTCGCTTGGTTCTTGCTGAAACAGTGAATTGACATGCAATTAGATATGTTCCGAGCCCTCAAGAAGTTTGAACTACCACGCGACCACGTTTACTCAGTTACGGTGGGTGCCAGCTCCAAGCAGACCGATGCCAGCTGGCACTTATTGGAACCGGCCGATGTTATTGGATCAATCCAGATGCTTTTTAGCAGCGCTAATCAAGATCACTGATATTTGAACAAGGCCTGGACCAACAAACCCAGGATTACCCGGCCACAACCAATATACGCCATGCTTCGGGAGTCCCGCCTTGGCATCTGTTTCAGATTCAGTATGCCGAAATTTATCACCACCTACCCGGGCTTGAAGATGGTTTGATTTATTGCCAGGAGGGCCATTAGTCTCATATTCGGACACTCCATACAGGTTGCTATACAAGCATGACCTCCGTCACGCTTTATTGTTTTTTAGCTTATTTGGCTCGGGTTTTCGCTCTCCTGCTTTTACCGTCTAAGACGGGTATCCTTTGCCATGTTTTTGTATAGACTCGCATGTATGTACATGTTAGATAGCTATTGGATTTCCCGAGTTACATCGTACACGACTACCAAGTATCTGAGACAACTGGTTTTGCGGGGACCCCGGGATTGCGCCATATTAACTAAATGTGGGGTCAGTAAAAGAGCCATACTCCGTATACATATATAATATATACTATAGGCTATTCAGATTGGAGAAAAGGGTTCAAAAGGGACAAATGAGAAAAAGCCGAATAGACTACAACCCTATACCCTACATATAACACGCTATACAAAAGACTAAGATTATTCTAATAGAATCAAACGCCAAATCATATATGTAAAGCATCTGTTCCGTACAAACATAAAATATATAAAAGGAGAAGCTCCTCGGAAGTGGACCCGTGTGTCATCGGAAGGGCGCGGTCATCTCTGCGAATGGGCGAGAGACTGATCGGAAGGATCCCCGTTATAAGAAAAATCTCTAACTTTGACTAATTTGAAAAAAGGATTTTGCTTGGAAAGAGTATTGAACTTACAAGGCGCAGCGATAGATAAATTATGTCAACTTCTAATATGGCCTACAACAATCTCCCCAACCCCTCAAGCACCGAAGAACAGGGCCAAGAGCAATCCAACGAAAATAATAAAATATGTCAAAGCCATACTCGCCATTCCTCAGACGAAGAATCAACTATTGACTATGAACCCAACCTTTCCCGCGAGCCCACCAACACCAGCGTCTTGGAACGTACACTATCGGTAGTGCGCACTCGGGAATCTGGCAAAGATCTCGGCCCGCCCCCAGATGGTGGATTTCAGGCTTGGTCTCAGGTTGCCCTCGCACACTTCGTCATCTTCAATACATGGGGCTATATCAACAGTTTCGGTGTCTTCCAGACATACTATTCCCAAACACTGGGACATTCCCCTTCAGATATCTCCTGGGTTGGGAGTATTCAGATCTTTTTGTTATTTTTTATTGGCACTTTCTCTGGCAGAGCCACGGATGCCGGCTATTTCAAATTCACATTGGCCTCTGGTGCTATATTGGAATGCTTTAGTATCTTCATGACCTCGCTCTGCACGAAGTATTGGCAGCTATTCCTGGCACAAGGTGTTGGCCAAGGAATTGGATGCGGGCTGATGTTCTGCCCAACCTTGGCTTTGGTCTCGACTTATTTCGCCAAGAACCGTGGAATCGCTATTGGGCTCGTTGCCTCTGGCTCTGCGACGGGGGGTCTTGTCTTCCCAGCTGTTATCATGAAGATGCTGCCCCAGGTCGGATATGGGTGGACAATCCGGGCGCTGGGCTTTATCTCAATAGCCACGCTGACTCCATGTGTCTTGTTCCTTAGGCAGCGTCTTCCTCCACGCAAGAGTGGTCCAATTGTTGAGTGGTCTGCCTTCACCGAGCTGCCCTACTTGTTGTTTGCGATTGGCATGTTCATGAACTTCTGGGGCCTGTATGTTGGATTTTTCTACATTGGCAGTTTCAGTCGTCACATCATTGGCGTATCAAGCAATCGATCCATTGATTTGCTCCTGGTCATGAATGGAGTTGGATTGGTCGGGCGATTGGTCCCCAATCTACTTGCTGATCAGTTCACCGGTCCTCTCAACCTGTTGATCCCGTTCAGTTTCGCGACAGCCTTAGTTGGATACTGTTGGGCGGCAGTCACTGGTATGTCCGGGCTGTGGACATTTGCCGCATGTTATGGCCTCTTTGCTGCGGGTATTCAATCGTTATTCCCAGCGACCCTTAGCACCCTCACTACTGATATGAAGAAGATCGGTGTACGCATGGGCATGGTGCTCAGCGTGGTGGCAGTTGCGGCCCTTATAGGGTCTCCTATTGCTGGTGAGCTAGTTGTTCGCAATGATGGAAACTACCTGTATGCCCAAATGTTCATGGGATCTGCGATCTTCATCGGTGGATTGACGTTAATTGGCGCCCGAGTGACTAAGGTTGGCATTGGTCTGGCTCGAGTTTGAAAATATGTAACCTTGGAATCTATATCATAACAGTGTACGGAGTACAGAGTATGTATGTTAGTGGGTGCATGTGAATCGTGCACTCTAATTGGTTTGGGTGTATGACTCAGTTGACCGCTTACATTTTTCTGCCATTTTCCTCACCAAAATGTCTAATTACATTTGCTTTTTAAATCAATATATTAGGCTTTCCCTTCAACTGATTTACTTCTATTCTTCAGCATAAATTGATAGTACTAATAAATATAACTTCCCTTTTTTTCCAATCTAATTTGATTAGTTTTTATAGTTCTCTTACTTTTATACCGCGTCGACCTACTCCGTATAGAGCGCAGCTATAGAGCGTAGGCAACGGAGGGCCTTAGTTATATTAGTGTTTGTATAATACTAAACCGGCTTAGGTACTCTCCGATGTTCTTAAAAGTTGTACCCTTTCTACTTGTGTTATGTTTAGCATATAAGGGACACGCACACATACACAAACACATACACAAATATACACACACATATATATCCATGAATAAATATCTAAGTATATAGTTATGTAGTTATAAGTTTTAATTGTTAATTATACCTAATACTACCTATGATGTCTAGCAAATCAATGAGTTGTGGTTTGACGTGAAAAAAGGGTTCCCCACATGTGATTAATGCGAGCGCGGTGACTCGTGAACTTCCCTTTCCACTTTGTCTTTTACAACATTTCAAGTCTTTGCAATACTTTACATTCTCTAGGCAAGTCTATGGGTTGTTGTTTTTAATATATTCTGGCGCATTCAGGAACCGGCGAACCTCCAGTTTGCCCCTCCATTGTGTGCGAAACCCCCCTCAATGAAAACCTGCTAATTCGTTCTTGACATAAACATATAGACATATACATTGCTTGAGCCTTCTTTAAAAGCTGTCAATATTTCCTACATATCAATATGGCACCCCGTGGTCGCGGAGGAAAGTTCTCCAAGCCCTCTCGAGGAGGTTTGTTGCGCCACATGCAGAGCACGAGACACTTCAAGCTGATCAGACGATAAATAGGAGGCAAGCACTTCAGCAGAGATCTTCAGCCATTAGACAAGGATGGTAACCAAATGGGTCTCTGGCGAGTAAGTGAACTTCAAACCCAATCAATTCAGTTTCCACAACATCACACTGACCATGACATTTCTCTTACATAGGAGCCTGGTGACCAAATCAAGTCTTCGGACGAAGATTCTTCATCTGAAGAAGAAAGTTCAGAGCAATCCAGCGAGGACGAGTCCAAGCCTACCGAGTCATCCACAGTTGGAGGAACCCGTGAGGAGCGTCGCGCAGCTGCTAAGGCTAAGAAGGCAGCCGCATTGAAGAAGCGAGGCCAAGGACCTGCCCAACCGGGTGACTTACCCCCTTCAGATTCGGAAGAGTCTGATAACGAGCTCCCCGCAAACCCCAACCACACTGCCAAGTCCCGCTCCCAGACCCTGAAAGCTGCTGAAACCGAGCCCGCTGCTGAGCCCAAGAAGCCCGCCAAGGTCAAGGATATCTCACAGTTGTCTCGACGCGAGCGTGAGGCTGTACAGGCTCAGCAGGCCCGTGAGCGTTACCAGAAGCTGCACGCCGAGGGTAAGACCGATGAGGCGAAGTCGGATCTGGCTCGTCTCGCCGTTATCCGTGAGCAGCGTGAGGCAGAGCGCCTACGCAGGTTGGCTGAGAAGGAGGAGAAGGATGAGCAAGCCAAGGAGCGTGCTGATGCCGCTCAGGAGCGGGAGGATCGTATGCGCGCTGCAGCTTCAGGAAAGTCTTCTAAGAAAATTGGTGGAAAGAAGAAATAAGCTGGATGCTTTGGATTTATGTGGTCACGACTTGGGTTGAATTTTTGTTTGTTACATATCCAGACAACAAAAAAAAAGCAAACAGTTGAGATGAATGTTCTTCATATTTTGGAATGATTTGGACAGTAGAAAATATGCTCAATCTTATAAATTCAAATTATGTACACCGACGCCCCTGAATCATTAGAGAAATACCTCATTCTTGGGCTGGCTTTTCTGAAAATGCATGAGCCAGGCCCAAAAAACATTCATGAGGGCAAAAAAAGATATCTCAAGTTTCATACGCGGGATTGAATCCTAGGGAGAAGACAGCCAAGAAGAGGTCTGTTAGCGGGAAGCTTGCTACTTCACACGCCCCAGAACAACCCCTCAACACTGCGGCCTTGCATGACAATGCCCCAACCGGCAATCAGGCTGACTAGCCACATAATGGCTAATATGATGATGGGGACAAGCAGAAGTTCCGTATTATGCAAGAAGGGGAGTGCATTGTACCCTAGGAATGTGATATAGGTGTAGTAAATGAGAGCAGAGAGGTAGAGCGAGTTTCCAAGGAAAGTAGCCAGGAAATTACTCGGGCTACGGGTAAGGAGCGGCAGAAGGAGGAACTGCACCACGTAGAGGTGGAGATAGAGAGGAAAGAAGGCCCGGTTGGACACCTACACAAGGCCAGTGTCAGAAGATCGGAAACTCCACTGGATTCGTAGCAAGGAGTCTTACATCAAAACAATATCCAAACTCCAACTGCTCCTTCTCCCCTGGTTGAGTGAACAAGCCCTGAGCAGCACCTCGTCTGCGGCCCCGGGATCCCCGTAGGCCAGCCAGAGACGCGGCAGCTCCGTTTGGACCGAATAGACGGCCAATAATAAAGTATCCAATTGTTGAGACGAGCAGTGACGAGCCGATGAAATGTACGAACACGAAAAGGAAGGTGAGGCGTAAGATTGCGCCGAAGCCTGGCGTATAAGCGAGGCCCCATGCGAAGGCTGTGAGGAGGAGGAAGAATGATAGTAGGTAGGTGAATGACGGATCAGGCCGGTGCCATGTGTTTTTCGTTTCTGTTCGAAGGCGTCAATAGTGCTCAGTTAGGGTAATGGTAGTTGGCAGAGCCAAGGTTGTAGATGTTTGCTCAATTGAGATACGAGATGAGCCTGGAATAGGTAGACTCACGTTTCTAGTTCCGAAGGCATAGTCAGCATAGCTCGAGGGCCAGCTAGGATAGTTAAGATTACTTACATGGTAGTATATCGATTTGAAGACCTTCTTGGGTGCGATTAATAAAGAGGTCATCTCCCAAATTGCCATCTCAAAGTCCATTTGTGGAAATTTGAAGAGTCTGTCTCATATCAGTGGTTATTTCTCGCGTGGAGATTCTTTGATCCTACCTCTTGAAGAAGCGCGGCATGCGGACACTAGACCGGGTTGCAGGCGTTGAGCCAAAATTAGCTGAGCCGGCATGTTGGCGGGGGACAGAGATGTGAGGGTTCATGATCTAAGACCCCGTTTTCGAGAGGGGAAAATCAGTCTCGGAGCATACACCATGCAGTCCGGTTGTTGTACGTATATCCAAATCCTTGGTTGGAACCTGGGAAGTTGAAACCGGTTATGTCATCCTGGTCACGTGCTATGTATAGGTATCGAGGCCATGTCTTTTCTTATTTTGATCTTATATATGTATGTTTTACCTGGGTACATAGTTTCCAAGAGACATAGTACATATAATATACTATTGTCTGATCGAATTCAAACCCCCAACAGATCTTATACATATCTTCTTCCAAACTATCATTCCTGGAGCAGGTTTCCTCTCCAGGCAATCCACTCTGCAAGGGGCCAATAGTCAGCATAGTTAACCGTGAATTTTTCACGGAATCTTCTACATCTAGGATGCTATATTTACCTCAAATTATACTTATACATCTACTCCATACTCAATGTCTATGTATGTAGTCTACTTCTCCCGATATCTATTCACCATGGAAGTCATCTGATATACTCCGTACGTTGTACAGAGCTCCATATCCCCCCCACAGCTCCACTTGTGTACTTTTGCTATACAACATTTGTATATTATTGTACTCCGTACGAAGTAAAGTAATTAGTTATAGTTAGGGTACGGGGTCGGCAATATTGATATATTGCATAATATACATATACACCGATAGTTATACATGCATACTATATACTATATAAGTATAATATACTCCGTATAAGAGTATACAAATATAAACACATAATATGTCGTACAATATATGAAACCCCTGAAATCTGTGTGTTGGCAGTGTTGGTAGATCCTGGCTAAAACTCTCTCCCAAGTACATAGTAATTTCCCCTGGACTGTTTCTATTCAGTTTCATATGTTGCAATCCCCTTGTTTAATACTATAATATTAAAAAATAAGTAAGTCCCACAAGTTCACCGGAGTTACTTTAAAAGTTCCCGCCAAACCTCCGACTCTCAGGAGTTCGTTCCCCCGGTCGTCTCTCTGCATTATTCGGCTCTATTGCCATTGTATCTACATTCTTCTCTCTCTCTCTCTCTCTCTCTCTTTTAACCTCCCTTAATTCACGGGAAAATGTCCAAGTGAATTACCATTCAATCCGTCAAATCGGATATTGCAGGTTACGACCATTCTCCAAACCTGCAAGATATCTGGTACGTTACAACACACTTGGCACTTGCTCCAATTCCCTGGCTCCCTTTAACTACAATGATCCTACTAGTGCCTTCAAGGCAATCATTAACTTCCTTTAGTGCGATAATGTCCCAGCAACGGGAAGCGTACTCTCCTCCCCATACACCTCCCTCCCAAACCGCGAGATACAAGCCCCCCAAGCGTGGATACCCAGCTCGACCATCCATTCGTGATGCTTTCCCAGACGTCATGGACAACCCACCGAGAACCAGTGAGTCGGGAGATGATCGAGACCCGCACGATCTATCTCTATCCCCACAACATGCTACACGGACATCAATTGTCGACAACATGCTTCTTTCTCTCGATCAATTCGCCCCCAGTTCGTCTGTTCTAGATGACTACCGTCTTTTCAATTCCGCCTTTGAAACCGACCACCACAGTCATTACTCGCAAGAATCTGATTCGCACGGCCGGTACCGCGGACACACATTCTCCTCGTCAATGTCCTCAGAACCAGACTACGGCTACGAAGATGGGAATGGCCGCTATACAACAAT